TAATCAGGAAGGGAATTTTAATCTGATCTATATTTTACAGCGAGTTTGCAAAGTATTGAGTCACAAAGTCATGTGTTGTTTTAGGTGTAAGTGTTATATCTGGTGTAATCATTGATGATATTATCAGTGCACTTTTGCATAATTGTCAGCTGACTGCACTTAAAGCCATTGCATCACAGCCTTACGTATATGGAGTTTTCCAGTACTATAATAATAATAATAATAAACATATCCAAGGGCCAGTTTGGTGTAGTGATTAAGGCACCAGTCTAGAAACTGGGAATTCTAGTCCTGCCTTGAGCACAAAGTCAGCTGAATGATCTTGGGCAGTCCCTTTCTCTCAGTCCTAGGAAGGAGGCAATAGCAATCTACTTCTAAAACCTTGCCAAGGGAACTATAAGGATTAGTGCAGGCAGTTGCCACGAGTCAACACTGATTCAAAGACACAAAAGAATAAAAACAAACAAACATTCATAGGGGACAAATAACACTTCTAAAGTGGTGTTTCTGTAAGAAAAAATAAATAAACCTTGGTTGAAGGCACAAGGAAATAGAATACTTTTTTTTGAGCCAGGACCCTGGCATTTTCCCATAGTACTATAATATATCTAAAAAAAGAGAAGTTATTACCACGTAAGCTAAAACACACAATCCTCAATATTCTGCTCACTATAGAGGAGCTGGAAATGGAGATCTATAGAAACCCCCTCCCAGATTATCAGTTCCATGAAGTTGATACACATAGCCAAGCGTTACTTGAAAAGTCTGAAAATTGGAATTGTTTTACTGCTAGCAACGAAGATTAGTTTACTTTTGAAGAGAAGCCTGGAAATGTTGCTTCTTGATATACTTAGAACAAATGTTATTTAGCAGGTGTAATATACACATAGAAAGACATAGTAGAGCTCTAAATGATCAGATCCTATAAGGTGGAAACATCCATACTGTGTGGGATGATCTTAAGAGCACCCAACAATGCAGCATTTCTCATAGTATCTTAAGTGTTAAGTCTTACAAAAGAAAATCAGTCTGTGGACTCGCTGTGCAACCAGAACTATTTGAGCAGTACAGACAAAATAAGAGTTTTCAAGACTCTCACACCTAGACTTAATTAAAAAGTATTTATTATGTCTGTGTAACTCTTTGGCAGAGGAAACATCAATAACTTGCACTATGCTGATGACATTACACCAATAGCTGAAAATACAAAGGCTCTGGAAGCCCTAGTACTAAAAGTCAAAGAGCACAGTGGGGGAAAAAATGGGATTAAAATATAAAGAACTAATGAGTACAGATAGAACAGCCAGCCTTAGAATTGTCAGTGAAGATATGGAAGATTCTTGGGTAGTTTCTGGCTTTTAGGACCAATCATCAATAGTAAAGGAACAAGGAGTCACGAAATATACTGCAGATTAGCGTTTGGTAGAGCAACCATGAAGGTCTTAGAAAAGATACTCAAATGTTGTGATGTGTTCATATTTACAAAGATGAAAATCATGCAACCGTGATTTTCCCTGTGACACTCTATTGGAAATGAAAGTTAGACTTTGAAGAAGTCGGATAGGAAGAATATTGACACCTTTAAATTTGAGTATTGGAAAAGACTCCTGACAGTGTGGCCGGTAAGAAAACAAAGCAGTGGATCATCAAACAAAACAGTGCAGAGTTTTGCAGCACAAATGACAAATTATCCAACTTGGGACACATTACGCAAAGTCCTAGCTCTCTGGAAAAGGCTTTAATGCTGGGAAAGGAAAGAGAAGACCAGGAGCAAGGTGGCAATGAGTGCACTGTTGGGAGATCTGAAAGAAAGGATTAAGCCTAGATTGTTGTGGAGAAAATCTATGTGATTGCTAAAGTCAAAAACAATGACACATAATCTCTTTTCCTCTACTGAACTGGTACAATTACTGTTCACCTTTTGTTTGTTAATTAGTTTGTTGTTATTTTAACCATGCAGTCGTGTTGGACTCTTGGCGACTTTATAGGCAAGCACTTTCCATGCTACCCTGTCAAGTACAGGTTCTTTCAGTTGTTGCATGTTCATCTTTGTATCAGTTTTGATGTTATCAAGCCAGCGTGTTCTTTGTTTGCCCCTTCTTCTTGTTCCACTAATTATTACCTAGCACCATTTATTCTCCAATGAATTTGCCTGCATGACATGGCCAAAATAAATCAGATGTAATCTTATGATTGGCTTCTAGTGATGTGTCTGGTTTTATATGATTCAGTAGTATTTTGGTATTTTTTAAAATACGCATTCACACCTAAGTGCAGTATTTTTTTCTCCCCACAACCCTATGAGGAAGGTGGGCCTGCAATTGGTTTAGAGCAGGGATGGTGAACCTTTTAGAGACCGAGTGCCTGGTGGGTGTGGCCCATTGGGTGGGCGTGGCTCATTGGGTGGGCGTGGCTGCAGTGGTAACGGCAGACTGGGTGGGACTAAAAAGTTCAATCAATCAATTCCAACTTTGCAAGATCTTTTTTTTCCCGCGAAAAGTTGAAATTGACTGATTGAACCTTTTTTTTTTGCACACGGCGGCGGAGGCCTAAAGCGAAAAGATTTTATAAAACCCAGCTGAAGGCCTAGGACTGGGGCGACGGCGCGCGTGCCCACAGAGAGGGCTCTGAGTGCCGCCTCTGGCACCCGTGCCATAGGTTTGTCACCACTGGTTTAGAGTCATCAGGTGATTTTTCTTGTTTGAAGATGTACTAGAACAGGGTTGTCAAACTGCCGGCCTGCGGCCCAGATGTGTCACGTGGAAGCCGCGCCCACCCCATTGCCAGCAATGGCAAAACCGATACGTTGCGTGATGTCACATGACGTCGCGAGTTTGACATGTCTGAATTAGAACTTGGCTCTTCCAGCTTCTAGTCCAACACATTTACTACTAACCACACTTCCATGCTTGTGATAGGCTAATCAATTTGTTATACGTTGCTCTAAATGTTACTGTTGGTTTTTAAAGTTCTTCTGTTTTGATCTTCATCTTAGTGTACAGATATTGGGCGCATCCAAATTTGTATAAATGCTTTCTTTGCCTGAACAGTCTTACTGTATTTCATTACCCTGCTGGATGGCCAAACTGCTTGTGTTGTTTTTGAAGGGAAAGACTTGCAGCTAACTAGCTGCAGAAAATTATATTGTTGACAGAAAGCTCAGATTTGCTCAGATTAAGCCTCCTGTCTCTGTGGAGTTTGTATTCACTTTATAAATGTCACTAATTTTTGATAATACAGTGAAAATGTCAGTATTATGGATGTGACAGAAAAAGAATTCAGGTAGCCTTGGGTGGGGTGAGCATGGTGGTCCTCGCCATTTCCTGCATATGCCAGTTTTTGTTTTTTTTTTAAAAAAAATAGGACTTGGTATATGTTCAAATATTTTTTGTAATTAAGGTATTCATGATGGCTTTTAGTTAGTTGGCTTTCTTTAAATGAATGGCTTTATTCTGATAGAATTATTCAGCACCTAAAATTATATTAAATGTTTCATTAAAACCTTTAGTTAATTATTGTACTGTATAATTATTTTAGTGACAGATTGTAGATTTTTCTGAAATTTTGTTCTAGAGTTATTTCTTTAAAGTATATTTTAAATTGTATTTCTGAATATAAGTGGTAAGTGTGTGTGTGTGTGTGTACGGGGATCTTTTGGGTTTGCTATAGACTCTCCCATTGAATTTCTATGAGATCAGATTGGTCCTGTGAATAACCATTTTTCATGTGCAGCGTCTCATTCCACCAATGGAATGGTGGAATGAGATTATACTTTTATTTTAGGTGAAATGAGATTATACCCTTCCCTGCAATATACACAAATAAATTGGGTGGCAATTTTGGTTTCCTATAGCAAAGTGGTGTCACTTTTACTCCAGGTATTACCACTTAGTTGGTTTTGTTTTTATTCTAGGAATTGCCACTTAAAGCAATAGACTGCTTTCAGTTTTGCCTGAGCCTAGAAAATTTTATAGTCATAAAAATGACCATATTATTTTCTCTATTTAAAAAAAAATTCATCTTCCTTAGACAATTTGTTTCAACATGCCGATGAATCTTTATATACTTCATTATTGTTTAGGGTTGAAAAAAAATTGCTATTTCAATTTACGTGTTTCAGAATGAAACTTTTCCCATACGTTCAGTTCATTTTATGTTGATTAAAATGTTATTTTTCAGTTTTTAAAATTTTGGAGAGATTATGCATAGAGATGTCATAGGTACTAGGAAAGGATGTTGCTTCCAGCTCGTAACTCCCACTATTAAATCCTGCTTTTAGACTACTGTCCTGAAGTGTCTGAAGGCCAGCATAAACCCAATGCACAACAGTCCTGTAATACAAATATTTCTGGTTTTACAAGAAAAACCTCCAGGTAGAAAAAATACTTAAAAAAAAACTTGTTGATCTGAAGATTCATAACTATAGTAATACAGCTTCTAAATATTTGTGTTCTGCTCCAAATTTTTTTCTTTAAATTATACACATTATATGTTCCTGATCTCTGGGATCTTGAGCATATTTAATGAGCGGTAAAGCTTGAAATGTTTTGAATGAATGTTGTATCATCAGCCCTTTAAAAAAAACTAAAACAAGGGAAGAAAAACTGTTATACCATAGATAACAATGTTTTCCGCCATTCATGCATTTCCCCCCCTTTTTGTCCAATTTAGTAATATAGTGGTTTTGTTCAGTCTCATAACTTGTAAAACAGGAATGGGGAATCTTCAGCACATGGAAGCCTCTTTAGTGAAATGTCTTCTCTTCCATTCCATATTTAATGATTTAGCTAATATTTTCCAAAAGAGCATAATTGATTAAAATTGATTCTGGATGAACTCTGCATAATATTTGGGACTCTGTAGAGTAACTAAGAAAACATAGGCTTCAGTATAGAGCAAGATGAGGAAAGTGATCATGTAGAAAATGAGTTTGTTCATTCACACACGGGCTCATAATCCATACTATTTTCTAATACTTATTTACATATTTTATTTTTCAGTCTTGGCCTAAGTATGATGATGTTCATAAAAAAATGCATGCCCTTGCAGAATTCATGGACCTGCCTTGTTTTCCAGATATAACAGAGTGCAGCTTCCTTCATCCAAATATTCTTTGCATGAAATACATGATGGAAGTCAACTTGCCTGGTAAGGGAATATTTAGTAGTCTACTTTAGTATCTTCTAGTTGTTTAAATGTTCTTGTTCAAAATCTAATTTTTTGAAACAGGATCCTATATTAAAAGAAGATAATGGGTACAAATGAACAAGCAATTGGTCCTTTATGAATCAAAAATAAAGATTGTCTGTCTGTCTGTCTGTCTGTCTATCTATCTATCTATCTATCTATCTATCTATCTATCTATCTATCTATCATCTATCTATCATCTATCTATCTATCATAGACTAGATTCAGACCATCACTGAATCTAGTGAAGGATTTGTGACATCCTTGTTAACTTGAAAAAGCAGAAATGTTCTTACATTATGCTCTTAATTTAGTGTAATAATTAAAAAACCCTCTATTAAGAACAATTAATGCTATCATACTATCAACCTATGAAACATCAACACATATGCTATTTAAACTTTATTTTTGCAGAATGTGAAGACATGATCATGAATTATAGTTTAATTTTACTTAGTGCATTAAGTTTCTGATTACTTATATTTTCTAACAAAATCAATGGAAATTTATGGAATTTTACTTTGGTTATGTAATGCCCAAAGTAAGTAGTTAGAGTTTTGTTTTTATTGACTTGGGCTATTTTGTGCTGGGAGATGTTATAATATAATTTTCCATGTTATCTGAAATACTAGTTCCTAAACATGTTTACTTGCAACCATATAATTATTTCAAATAGAGAATATGTAACTCATTGATTGATGTGGTGACTATTTCAGAATGATACATTTGAGGCTGCTCTCAATCATTTTTTTTTCATTCAGATGATATGAACAAATGGGCTTGTAGAGTGATTAAAAAAATTGGTGTTGGTGAAACAGACTTTCTGACGCTTCATCCTTGTAATAAATCAACTTGGAAAGTGAAATATGATATACTTGCCGTAGCTATTATTATAGTAGTGCTGAAAATTCTATTCTTGCTGGATGATGAATATGAGTGGTAAGTGTCCTTTGCTTTATAAAAAGAATACTTAACTTTGCAGCTCTCAATTGCAAAAATAATAGTCAAATGTTCTTAATTATAAAAATCTATTCTATTCTAAAATTGAAATCGGTTTAGATAAAAGATAGCTTATTCCTTGGTTAATATTAATTTTCAACCATGGCTCCTCAGTGGATAGCTTTGGGCCAGTCAGTTTCTCTCAGCCCAGCCTACTTCATCGGATTGTTGTTGTTGGGAAAAAAGGAGCCAGCACTATGTACAGTCTTGAGCTCCTGTACAAAAGACAATATGTAAATGTAATAAATAAATAAATAAATAATTGCACTTGGATTTCCTTTTGCCATTTTCCTACAACATTGTGTTCATTGAAGCTCTAATAGTATCAGAATTTATTGGACCTAATATGAATTAAAGTATTAATTATCTTATGTTCAGACCGATAAAAAATGTTTTGATGATGTGAAGTTTAATATTTGAATTGCGCTGGCAGCTTAAATTTCTACATGTGGGAATTTAGTGATGAATCCCTTTCATGCAACAGGTGCTAATTTGTACACAGTGTAAATATAAGGCTGACAGACTACAGTAGATTTCTGGGCTGTTAAAATTGTAAATGGCCCAGTGGTAGTAATTCAAATATTAAATACATTTGATAAGTTTAGACACAGGATCATGATTCCAATAAATAGCGAATCTGATTAATATTTTGTATTTTCAGGCTGCTGGCAAATTATGTGGAGGAAAGAAACAAAAAAAATGACGAAGGTACCAAGCTTTTTTTAAAAAACAACAACAATATAGATTAAGTTTTATAATTTCAACCATTCCTCCTAAAGTGTCTGGGGCATAATTATGAAGACTCATCTGAAAAATATTTGAAATTAGGAAAGAAAAAACAAAAGAACTCTGCATAATTTGGACTATGTTGGCAGATGACTTTTAAGGATGTTCAAAGGGTTGCCTGGATTTTAGAGTAGTATATGTATGCTACCTATAGTATATAAGTTTTGAGTAGGTGAGTCAACCAGTTCTTTAGTCACGGCATTCACAGATTGGCTGCAAGTTTATGCTTTTCTTTCTCACGATCTCTCACTATTTTGATGCAGTTTCCCTGAAATATTCCCGCTGTCCATAACTGCAATTAGTATTAAACTGTTTTGATGACCTACATGTTTTGGCCAGTGGAGCTCTATGTATCCTAGGGTTATTATGGTTTAATAAAGATTGTTGTCACAGAGTGACAAAGCTGGTGAAATCATTTTATAGGCTTCCGTGTAGGTTGTTTGGGATTAAATCATTATCTTAAAAAATCTGCATTAGGAAGTAGACATGTTTATATTAACTAATATATGCCCTTAATCTTAGGATCAGAAAATCAGTGTAGTACTTTTAATTACAGCGTGGAGGGAGTTAGCATGGTTTCCCTGTGTAATAAGGCTTGTCTCTGTTTCTGAGCTTGCTTTCTATTGAATGCTTTTAAGAGAAGAGTTACAAGTTCTCTTGTTTTACAGGTTGTCCAATTTTTGATATTAGAAAATGGTACATGGTTGTAAAGAATATTTTGGATGTGGAGCAGAAGAAATTTAATGAAGAAAGAATCAGGTATATCTCTTAAAAACTACTCTTATTTGTTTTGATATTCCCTTTTAGGCTATGCAAAACAAAGCAAAGAAGCAAAAAATAGTGAGCCAAAGAAAATAGGGCATTATAAGAAAAAGAAATACAGTTTAATATAATTTATACCAACACCCGTTCATTGCATCTCTCCATTGTCTTTATATCCATATGAACCAGTCTTGCTTCCCGCACATGTATACAATGCTTCATCATTCTTTTTGTCCTTTAATCTTCCCTCTTTTCAGGATCTCATCAACTTCAGTCAATAATGGTTTTATCAGTTTTCCTCTTCCTCTCAACCTATTCATCCTTCATGTGTTTCTTTTGGAACTTAATTCTCATTCATTCTCTTTGTATGACCAAACCAGCTTAGTATATACATCATTCACCTTAATATTTGGTCCACCTTCTTCATTCCTTTGTCTTATCTTTTCTTATTTTTCATGTCAGACTTTTTAAATACTCTTTCCACGACATTCAAGTTCTTGTTTCCCTGACACACCCAACTCTCACTTCCTGGTAACAAAGTGAACAGAAGCCTTCCCTTAAATACAGCCATTTCATCTTTTAAACAAATATTTATTCTTTGCAATAGACCACACACTATCTACTATCACTTGCTCATTCTACAATGTCTCTATTTTCTATCTTTAATAAATATTCTAAAATACTACTCCAAGCTACGCTACATTTATCTGGTGGCTCTGATTTTTTCCCTTCGCTCTTACTTCCCCTTTCTTCGTATTCAGACCAATTTTCAATGAATATAGACATTTAGACCCCCTTAGAAACCATACTGTAAGTGTTTGTATTTGCCTTGCTGCATGATAAATTATAAATACGGATTCTTATTTGATTTGTTAGGACTTCTATTGTGGATATGTGTATGCTGTTAGTTTTGCCATTACTGCTATTCTCCAAGTTTAAGTCCCCTATCAGATATATATCAGATATATATTTCAATTTTCAGACACAGACTTTATACTCACATATCAACCAGCCACTTCACTAGCATGCCTGTATTTTCACATTTCTTCGGTATAAATTCTACAGTGTATATACTCTTCTGATTTTTCAACTTTCCCACTATATTTACGATTTCTTTTTCATCAGTGTATTTCTTGGATGCGCATTACATTTTGGTACCGTTCTTTAACAAATCACTATCATTCAGACATTCCTTCATGTCAGTTTTATCTGAAATTATTTCATGATTTTTATTTTTAATCCAACACCTTCTGCTGAGGTTCCTTGTTGGCCATTTTCATTTACTTGAAGAACTATGTTTTATTATAATTGTATAATAATACAAATGGAAGTTGTTTTCCGTTGCCCTGACTCCTTTACAAGCGTTAGCTTGTTCAACTAATTCTTGCTCTGTTTGATTATGTTCATTGCAGCTTTCTTTTTCTCACAGTATATGGTATGCTTCTTTTATCATTTTTGCAGCAATCATTAGCTAATATACTGTAGTGTAAATTCTTTAGAACTATAGGCAATATTGCACTACTGTGTCAGAGGTTATCTGATTTAAAGTAAAGAGTCTGCTTAAACAAACAGTGAAGTGCACTTCTTTCTGTGAGGTTTGTTTAATCAGAATATCTATTAGCAGGAACTGGATGAAGCCCAGATTAACACTGCAGGTCATAATATTATAGCATTATGGATAGTTCTAAAAACTTCACAAATTCCTCTCACCACTGAATTCTAGTCTAGTCTAGTCTAGTCTAGTCTATTCCACTCCACTCCACTCTACTCCACATCCACAAAGACACTTGCATTTGGTCATTCTGCCTGGTATTCTTTTTCATATCATCCATTACCACAGCTCCATACTCTTCTATGGTATTCTGTACTATAATTTGTTTCTGTCTGTTCCAGAGAGCTTCCACATCTTTTCATCTATTTATTTTCTATTTGTTCTGTTGTGAAATTATACTGCTACTCCCTGTTCATATGGGGTTAATAATTAAGCCACAGGTTTAGCTATTTCATTCATAATTAAATCTTTACTTTTGCTTTCATGTCTGTTTTTATCAACTCTAGTCTATAATATCAAGATCATTCAGATTAACATTCTTACGATTTCCCTTAGTTTCATATACATACAACATATCAAAGTGAGTTTTTTATTTCTTCTGTTAATTCCTCGTATTTATCATTGAGTCCACCCATACTCTATGTGATAGTCTTCCACTTGCCATAATCACCTTCCAGACCAGGGGTAGGCAACCTTGGCTCTTTTATGACTTGTGGACTTCAACTCCCAGAATTCCTGAGCCAGCATGGCTCAGCTTGGAAACCTCTCCCTTTCCCCTCAGCATGGCTGCCTCAGGAATTCTGGGAGTTGAAGTCCACGAGTCATAAAAGAGCCAAGGTTGCCTATCCCTGTTCTAGACCATAGATACCCACCTCTACCATCTTATCATGACTTTAGTCAATTAAACTTTCCAAAAGGTTTTCCAGTGATTTGGAAAAGTGAAATCTAAATTCCAAGCTTATCCAGCCTGCATGCAGTATTTCCTGTTAACACTAAGGCCAGTACTGGTCAAGTTGGTACTTTTTCCATTTGGGGAATGAATAATGATACTCAAGAGATAATGGTAAAGTTAGAAGTCATTTAAAACTGTGTACGTGGGAACACGACATAATGTAAGCTGTGTGTCTCCCAACTCTCAGAATCTAAAGGAAGGGGAAGACCTGTATATGGGTTTGATTGTAACATGGCCATTTGGGGGGTATTTACAGTACATTCAGAAAGTATTCAGACTCACTTCACTTTTGTCAGTTTTGTTGTTCTGCAGCCTCATTTTATTGTTGTTAAAATTCATTTTTTTTCTCGTTAATCTACACTCAGTACTCCATAATGACAAAGTGAAAACAATTTTTAGAAATGTCTGTAAATTTGTTAAAAAGAAAAAACTGAACTATCACGTTGGCATAAGTTTTCAGACCCTTTGCAACAACACTTGAAATTTAGCTCCAGTGCCTACTATTTCTCTTGATCATTGCTGACATGTTTCTGCACCTTGATTGGAATCGACCTGTGGTAAATTAAGTTGATTAGACATGATTTGGAAAGGTACACACCTCACAGCTAACAATGCATAGTGTAGCAGAGCAAAAGCCATAAGGTCAAAGGAAGTGCCTGCAGAGCTCAGAGATAGGATTATTGCAAGGCACAGATCTGGGGAAGGCTACATTAAAATTTCTGCTGCACTGAAGGTTCCTAAGAGCACAGTGGCCTCCATAATTCTCAAATGGAAGAAGTTTGGCACAATCAGGACTCTTGCAAAATTGGCTGCCTGGTCAAACTGAGCAATCGGGAAAGAAGGGCCTTAGTAAGAGAGGTAACCAAGAACCCAATGGTCCCTCTGACTGAGCTCCAGAGATCCTGTGTAGAGTTGCAAAAGAGTTCCAGAAGGACTACCGGTATCACTGCAGCTCTCCATCAATCTGGGCTTTATAGCAGAGTGGCTAGATGGAAGCCTCTCCTTAGTGCAAAACACATGAAAACCCTCTTGGAGTTTGCAAAAATGCACCTGAAGGACTCTCAGACTGTGAGGAACAAGGTTCTCTGTCTTATGAAACCAAGATTGAACTGTTTGGTCTCAATTCTAAACATTATGTCTGCAGGAAACCTGGCACTGCTCATCACCTGCCCAATATCATCCCAACAGTGAAGCATGGTGGCGGCGGCGGCATGCTGTGGGGTTGTTTTTCAGCAGCAGGGACTGGGAGACTGGTCAGGGTTGAGGGAAAGCTGAATGGAACAAAGTTCAGGGATATCCTCAACAAAAACCTGTTCCACAGCACTCAGGACCTCAGACTGGGCTGAAGGTTCACTTCCCAACATGACAACGATCCTAAGCACACAGCCAAGAGAACACAGGAGTGGCTTAGGGACAACTCTGTGAATGTTCTAGAGTGGCCCAGCCAGAACCCTATTGGACATCTCTGGAGGGACCTGGAAATGGCTGTCCATCGACAGTCCCCATCCAACCTAACTGAGCTTGAAAGGGATTTGCATGAAAGAATAGGAGAAAATCCCCCAATCCAGGTGTGCAAAGCTTGTCGTGTCGTACCCCAAAAGACTCGAGGCTATAATTTCTGCCAAAGGTGCTTCAACAAAATACTGAGTGAAGGGTGTGAATACTTAGGCCAATGTGATATTTCAGTTTTGTTTTTGTTTTTTAATAAATTTACAGGCAGTTCAAACATTCTGTTTTCACTTTGTCATTATGAGTACTGAATGTAGATTAATGAGAAAAAAATAATTTCAAAAACTGTAGAATTAAGCTGCAGCATAACAAAATTTACAAAAGTGAAGGCGATCTGAATACTTTCTGAATACACTGTAGATGTCTCCTGCATGCACCCACAACCATTATTTCATTTTTTAGGCGTTTATGGCTATGTGAGAAGCCACTATTGTATACAGCCACTGAAAAGTATGTTGTCCTCAAGAAGAAACGTGAGTATAGTTACTGTTACTTCCTTTTCCTAAAATATACACCATATTCCTTTTTGTTCAGAGAATGAGAAGCCAAAATAATTTGCTCTACAATTAAAGAACTAATTTTATTCATTTGCCTATTTGTTTGTTTATATGATTTATATGACTGCTCATCTTACACAGGTGACTTACCACTTTCCCTGTTTAGCCTGTTCCCCCTGTAGTTGAAATCACCTGACCATCTCCTTGGCCAGAAACTAGGCTTCCAACAGAAATTTCTCAGTGGCTACTTCCTTACTGAGGTCTAGTAGGTTATCCTCAGTGCAATTTGTCCATGCGCAGGAGGGCCCTCTTTTAACTTTGCCTGCATTCTTTTTCTCCTCAGGAGTAATCTAGTGTCGGCAGTGATTGCATAGAACACTTGGATTCTTCCAGAAAGGATTGTGCCACATATTTTCTTGGCCATTCATGGGAGGTCCCTGGCCACTAAGATTTTGCATTTCCATTTCTAGATAGATCAAGCGTGGTTTAAGCTTCCCTCAAAGTAGCTATGCCAGAGCAGGGCTTGAGTTTTATTATGCTCCTCTTTACTAACCTTTTTAGCCTTGATACGGCTGTCTTGGCTATATGTTTTCTTCTGAGAGAAGCGAGCCAGTAATTTTTGTTTCTTGGAAGTCTTTTTTCTAATGCTTCCTTAAATCCTGAGATTGCAAGTGCTCCTTTTGAAGCGTGTGTGAGTATGGATGGGGGTGAGGGTAGAGGGGCACATATAATTTCCTTACTGTGAATTTCTATTGTCTTAAGTGTCATGGAGGGGGGTTGGCCATCTTTATTTCTTCTGGGACCAGAAAGTTATAACAACAAAAGATCACAAATTAAACAACAAATTAATATTAAACAGCACTCCTGGAACTTCCTGTTTTGCATTTTTTTTTCTTATATTGCTTAACCATTCTAGTTTGTTGACAACTCCAGTTGTTAGAGCTTCCCATTTCAGACATGCTTTGGTGCCGGCTTGAACTACTGCATTGTTCTTTCAGTCTGATCTAGGAATTGAGATGATAGCTCCCCTTGAAGAGATTTTGATGGGGGGAGGGGGGAGGGATGGTCTTCGTATTGGATCCCATTTGCTTTGTATTGTATTTTGTTTTTATTGTTTATAATTCTGCTAGCTGCCCATGCTTAGTTTAGAATCAGGTAGTACCTAAATTGAAACCAATAAACAAACCAGACAAAATTAGAAATTTTGATCCTCCCTCACTTGCTGCTGGTAAGTGAAATATCTGGATATACCTAAAACAATCGTGAATGGTTGTACTTTATTATTGTAGTATTTTGTTCTGTACAGAGGTGGTAATGGATCTTCAGAGACAGTTTCGTACCCTGACTGGCTGCCTGGAACTAACTGAGAAACAAAAGCCTTCCCTTTTCCAGTTCAACTGGATGGAAGAAAGCACAAAAAAGGACTGTTTTCATGGGCATAGCCTTGAAGCAATTTTGCAACAAAAAGGAGATATCTTTACCCCTCTGAACAGAGACTATTGGTTGTGTACAGTTAAAAAGCGCAAGAGGTAAGTTTTTAATGCTCTTGTTGAAAATGCATGCTGAATGTTCCATTTTAAAATGGTTGAATTAAATTGTCTATATTAGAGCACCAAACTGGAGTCCTAATGTGGCAGTTGGTGATCCAATCGAGAGATTGCCAAAAGTTGTGTCAGGCGTGAAATTCCAGTTAAACTGACAACATGCTTATGCACAGGAATTTATTCAACTGATGGTTAACACTATTTTGGCACTAGATAAGGGTCAGTGGGATGCAAGAGGGGTTGAACTTAGTCCATTTGTGGCCACATAGAGAGACTAGGCTGATTCCTCTTTTGACTTGGTCCCCAGATTCTTCCACTCCTTCTCCTACAAGTTGTTAACAAAATAAAATAAAAAATTTAAAATGACCAAGGAATATTATTAATCACATGATCTGAGAGGAATCCTATTAACTATGAGCATTGTAATTAATTTTAGATGTAAATGATATATTTTTGGTTTTACATTGTTTTATTCTGCTTTTCTTTTATATTTTATATTTGTATTAGTTATTATAATCTTATATAAATATAAACTTATATTTAAATTTAATTTTTTTTTAAAGTAAGCTCCAGTAAGGCTATAGAAAGTCTTAGAGACGTTTTCCACATGCATCAGACCAATTATATTATGAATTTAACAATGGCTACAATAGATGACTTTGAACTGTCTTGTAAACCTTGTCTATCAATATAAATTTGGAAGTCCCAGGGCTCCATGTGGCCACAAAATCTACTTTTTAAACACTATAGATGTTAAGTGTGGCTGGCAAAAATTGTGGCAAATGATAAACAGAGGTTTTCTACCAGTTTTCAATGGAAAATCAAACAAAAACGGCATATAAACAGTCAAATAGATTTAAGCACATTTAATAAACTCTGGAAAAAATTATATTGTCACTATCATTGAAAATCTTAATGTTCTGATGGCATCATCTTGCCTGCTGTGACTTTTAGCTATCTCAATATATTGGAAAAACAATTACTGTACTAGCTGTTGAGTCTTACAAAAATGCTATGCCTATGATACATCTAAATGAATATAGTATGGTGGCTGTTGGTAATCAATAAGACTAAGACAACTCCATCAATCCAATTAGTCATTAAACTCAGTTTTTAAAGAGGATTGTATAGTTTTGTTTCCTTTAATTTTGCCATTAGAGACAATGAGAGCTGATACTTTCCAGTACCACTCCATCTTTTCCCCAGATTATGTGACTATGACTGAATTGAAGTTATCGTTTTTAACATTTATGTTTCTGGATCCTTATCTAAATTTCTGCCTCAGAGTGTAACAACCTATGTGTAGATGGGGACTGTATGACTTTACAGATTTCTTTTGAAGGCAAATAATGCAAAAAATTATAGACTACATCCAATATTATAGATTATTCAGTGAGACTTTCCTTCACCTCATTTTACCTCATTTGCTAAATGTATCCTGTTCTACTTAGGAAAATCTATATTTTAGGGGAAGGACCATGAATCTGAAATTATGATTTGTTCTACAGATAGAATATCATCTGTCTGATACCATTGCATACTAAGTATCTAAGTGCTTAGCAGTAAAGAACATCTGAAGATCTGTAATGGTTTCATTGAGGGCCATCTGGTCTAGCATTATGGCTAACCAGATGCATCCAGGAAGCTAACAAACTTGGACAGGCCCTCTTCCCTGTTTGTCTTTTATCAGCAAATATTTTGGACATAATTCCTGAGATTCCAGAATTAGTACATAGACATTAAAACCAAGAATCAAATAAATAGCTCTATCTTCATGGATTTACCTTGTATGTTGTTTATTTGTATTTATATCTTGCTTTTCCTCCAAGGAAATTGACTATGGATCTTTCTTCATTTTAAGCCCACAAGATGATTAATATTTGTGATTTGGTCTCTTTGTTCTGAACATTGTAATTTTAGAATACACTTGTGCTACTTTTCTTACAACATTATTTCTTTCTTTGTTAGGCCGCGCAATCCTCGCAGTCGATACATTGAATCAGATTTTCCCCATACCTACCGGTTTATGCTAGATCTGTTTTCCTTCCTCCTAAGAGTGCAGCCCTATCTCATCCACGAAGAAGTATCTACGATAGAACATAAACTGTTTCATTCCAAATTTCATATGAAGTCCAGAATATTCAAAGTTCAAAAAAAGTGAAAAGTCTTAAGTCCAGTGACTATTGTAACGAAGACCTATAGTAACCAAAAATAATCCATGTACGTTTCATGCTCCCATCTCATTAATGCCATGGAAATTAAGAGAGATGCAATCCTGTCTGCAATTAGTTTATATTTAGATCAGCTTCAGACATCAAATGCCCAATCTAACAACCAAGCTTTGCGAAGGGAAAAATCAGTGATGAGTGTGAACACTACCTCTGTTTTCTCAGGTCTCTCCTGCCTAGCAGCCTTTGTTTTGTAGAAGATGAACCAGTTTGTTAAATAACAGTTTTCTGCAAAATGCATATAATATTGGGGAAACCCCATTTCCTAAGCATCCAGTTTGGGAAACGTTTGAGTGTGTGATTCATACAAACTGGGTTTGCAAGCTAAATTTGTTGGACCAGTACAGGGGTAGGCAACCTTGGCTCTTTTATGACTCGTGGACTTCAACTCCCAGAATTCCTGAGCCAGCGTGGCTCAGCATGGAACCCTCTCCCTTTCCCCTCAGCATGGCTGGCTGAGGAATTCTGGGAGTTGAAGTCCATGAGTCATAAAAGAGTCAAGGTTGCCTATCCCTGGACTAGTATTATGTTTGAACTGAATCTTGCACATCCATTCCTCAGGAAAATTGTAGAAAAGATGAGATCTGACAACCAAAGTTTGTTTTTTTCCGTGCAATACCAAGGATGTTGTAAAATGTTCATACATTTAATTTATATTGTATAATATAAACAGTATAGATAATATTTTCTTTATATTACCTCTATAATATTTTTCTCATTAAAGTGTATTTATTACTGCAAAAAATAAAACTTGATATATTAAAATGTTACCTTGTTGGAAATTAAAACTAAATCTGAATCTCGTGAAACAGTAAACCGTGTGTTACAATGCCTTGTCTCAAAGCGCGGAGGCGGGTTCCGACTTTTCAATCTGATTCTCTGAACAGTTTCAGTCTCAGCCCTTCCTAATTTTCTCTTTGATTCTTTTATATTTTAGAAAGTAGATTACTCATAAGAGTAGCTAAAAATGGCCATAACATTGAAAGGTAAAGGGATTTGGGGTTTTTTCCCCTTTTTGTTTGTTTTGGGGAGGAGTATCAAATGTACCTGAGAGAGGGTCAGGGATATCTCACTTCCTAATGATGCTTTTGAAGAACTTGGAATACTAGTTGATTACAAACTGAATGTGAGTGAACAGTTTAACAAGGTTGCAAAAGTAGCAGATGTAATTTTAGGCTGCATCAACAGAAGAGCTGTTTCTTAGTCATGAGAAGTGACCCACTTAATCTGTTTTGGTCAGATCCTCAGCCCCACCCCTCTGTTCTGGGTGCCTTGTTTCAAGATGGTTTTAGACTAGAAAAGGAATTGGAGAGAAGGGCAGTGAGGATTATCAGAAGAGTGAGAACAGAATCCTGTCAAAAGATAGAATAAACTTAGAACTTTAGCGCTAAAGAAAAGCTGAGGGAATTCTTCAAACACTGAAAGAATGTCGCACATAAGAAAATAAAAAGAGACCAGTTCTCTATTATTCCATCACATAAGACCTGAAATAACAATTTAAGTGATGGAAAGGTAGATAACCATTGAATTCTAGGAGGGAAAAAGTAATCTAATCAGTGACAATAGAACTGAATATGCAAAGAGCTGGTAGAGTGAACAGGAAGGGACATTTTATCATGTAAAAAAGCTAAAGAAATTTGGATACAAATACATACAGTCCCCTAATTCAGAAGATTTTAAAGATTAAAGTCTTGGGGGACTAATAGGCGACTAGAAAAAGGTCATGGATATGACAACTGCAGCAAGATTATTATATGCTCCAAAGTGGAATGATTCAACACTACCCACAATGGAGGAATGGCTGGTGAAGTTGGGGAAATTTGCAGAAAAGGCTAAATTAACTTTTTTTTATTAGAGAAAAGACAGTCATCTACATCAGAGGTCCCCAACCTTTTGGGCACTGATTACGTGGAGAGAGGTTTTCCCATGGACCGGAGGGGGCGTGGTTTTGTGTGCTGCCTGCATCCCACAGATGGGGTTTTGCTTGTTTGTGCGGCCCGGTTGCTGGCAGGCCGCAGCCCAGCACCGGTGCACGGACTGGGGGTTGGGGGACCCCTGATCTACATTTATGGCTGAATTAAAATCTCTTATAGCCTTTTGTATGAAACAAAAAAAATGCACTTTTGATTTGCGGTTTTGATGATTAGAAAAAAATTGGAAAATAGAAAAGGTAGCTTTTTTGTAATCATAAGGTAAGAGATAGCTTTGTACTCATTTGCTACAAAGGAAATTGAAAGCTGCTTTCTTTTTGTATATTGAGGGGTTGTTTTTTTTCTCTCCCCCCCCCCCTCTTTATTCTCTTTATTCTGTTAGACTAAAGTTTGTGTTAGAATTTTGTTCTCTTGGTTTCCCATATTGAAGGAAAGGGTTGAGGTCAATAGCCTAAGTGGCCCCTTCTTGCTGTAGTATTTCAAGGTTTTAAAAGAATTGTCATGCCTAGTCAGATTTTCATTTTATTACACTATTCAAGTTAAACTTGTAATACTAGACTACTACAGGTTCAAATTTGGTTTTCCTGGACCTTACAATTTCAAGTTAAACTCCACCCTGCTTCTGAGATACAATATTAACTTATAACTAATAATATAGCCGTGTTTAATTGCTTACCTCTTTTTGAAAAATGGGGTGTATTTAATGACAGATACAACTTTATTTTGGAACCACAGGGAGTCAATTCTGTTTTTCCTACTGCTTATCTTGAACCAGTCCTGGTCTAAACAATTTGTTGTATTCTTTTTGGGATGCTGGAGCAATTTAATATCCAGTACACAAAACTAAAACTATTTTTTTTTTGTCCTTGTATTTTGGTGTAAACAATCCAGGATTTACAAATAAAAGGTGCCACACTTCTTAAGCAGCTGATCTCTTAAGCATTCAGCATTTTATGAATTAAATCGCAAATAAAAGGCAGAGAAATAGTGCAAAGTAATGCATAACCTTTCTGGGGATCGTGTTTTAAGGGAAAATAGAAAGTGGAAAAAATATCTAGAAGAAGTCAGTAGCAAACCTCTTCTAAGAAAACTGCGTACCTTCCATGTATCTGGAATGGAATGTATTGGAAGTTAAGGAGACTGGTTTTATTTATATGAGCCTAGAACACCAAGTGCTTTAAGTCCACTTCACATTATGTTGAGGTGGAGCTGTATTTCTCAAGCAGCTAAAAGTGGAATCACCTGGGGGTAAGGTGTGAGGCTCTAAATAATAACTCTAAAAAAGTTAATTATTTTTCTGTTCATATTCAGATTAGCATTCTTTGTTCTCTTCCCAAATGCAAAATCAGCAATTTGGACATGTCCAAAGCTTGGACATCTCATAGAGGGGAACAAATATTCTATCAACTCCCCTCTATAGTGCCTCCAGATAAATCAAAGATGTAAAAATAGAAGATGAAAGTATGGTTTCATTCGATGTCACAGCATTCTTTACACCCATAGATCTAGAATTGCACAACGTATTAGGCCGGTTTTGCCATTGCCGGCAATGGGGCGGCCTGCGGGCCAGCAGTTTGACACCCCTGATCTAGAAGGAATAAAAGATCCACAGCAGCCTAAACAACAACAACCTAGTCAAATACACTAAGATTGAAATACCCAGAACCATAAGCCTCATCAATCTCTGACTCACTACCAACTTTCAGTTTCATAGACAAATAGACCAACAAATATGAGGAACACCCATGGGATCACCAGTCTTAGGATCCAGCAGAGGCCATAATTCAACATCTAAAAACTATAATAGCACTCCAACATGTGCAACTAAAAGTATGGATCCAGTATGTAGATGACACCTCCATTGTAATAAAAAAAAGGAACAACTAGAAAAGAAAGACACATGAAGCAACAACATTTTGAAATGAATAAAATTCACAAGGGAAGAAAGCAACAAGACATTACCATCCCTGGATATCCTCATCAGCAGAAGAAATGACAGCAAATTAGAAAAACAAGCCTGTTGAAAAACAACTCATAACTAACCAAGTACTCCATTGCCAAGGTAACAACCCAACCTCCCATAAGAGAAGCTGTGTAAGAACATTACTCAGATGAGTACAAATGCACATTAACCCAGAACACCAGAAAAAGGAAACAGGCTGCCTATACATCTTCCAACGGAATGGATACCATGCAACATTATCAAAGTGTACCTGACTATAGATATTTAACTCGCTACAGCACAATTAATACAATCCCTGAAAAGGATAACACTGCCATACAACAAAAACAACTCAGAAACAACCATATGGTATAGCACATAAACCAAGTAAAGCCCTCCAAAACATCTCTAGTAAACCACACAGTAGACCCAATAGCTCAACAACACTCCCTAGAGTTATTTTCATCTGAGGTGGGCAGCTAAACATATATGATCAATAAAAAACAGAAGCCATCTGCAACATACAGTGTAAGGACTAACAGCCACTATGTAGGATAGAAGGCAGAAGATAGCACAGCAATGAACACCAATTAGCAGTCACAAGACAATGAAAATTCACAACACATGGACAGACTCAACCATAATTTCATCTGGGAAACTGAGCATCTAAGGCCAAGCTAAATTCAAAACCACGGGAATTCTTGGAAATGCAGTATTTAGACAAATCAGCCATTAATAGACGCATAGTGATAAATCACATTTACACACTATTAAAAAGAGACAATAAAAAGCTAAGACAGAAACAGACTAGAATACATCTATTTCAGCAGCTTATAGCCAAATAAACAGGGATTAACATCAGACAAACAATCAGAAAATAATGCTGTAATTAAGAAACTACCAAGGAGAAAAACCCTCACCAACACTGGCAGTACAAGCTATATTGTGTGTAAACAAGGAGCAATCCCACACTCACTAGCACTGATGAAGTTATTTAGTAATGAAATGTCTGCAAGTGAACAACCAAACTCAGAGAGCACCCAGGACTTCACAATTCAACTCTGAGCTACATATATACTCTTCTATTGGAATCAGCGGTTCATTTCTGTTTTACACATTCTTGTATTTTTGTTTCCTTCTCTGTCAGCCTGTGCTCTGCTTCCCATCTCAAACCTCTGTGGAAAATACTGAGTAATGAGGATCACAGTGAGGCTGATAAGGAAACTGAATATCACAGATCTTGTCCATATACCTTGGGTTAGAAGTGGGTGGACAAAAAAAAGGATGACTGGACAACTATTTGTCTGGAATGGTATAGGGCAGGGGTAGGCAACCTTGGCTCTTTTATGACTGGTGGACTTCAACTCCCAGAATTCCTGAGCCAGCCATGCTGAGGGGAAAGGGAGAGGTTTCCAAGCTGAGCCATGCTGGCTCAGGAATTCTG